ACATGGTTTCATTGTCTCAAAGAGACAGGGTACAAGGTAGCAGATAAAAAAAATTTGGGTGAACATAATTCACTTTTTTGAAAAAAAATTGTCTACTTATTTTCTGCCATTTTGAAGCTACGATGAACACAATTTAATTTGGCTGGAACAATGACATTACATAGGCATGACCAAATTCGCGAAAAATGCTCAACCGCTGACCAGGATACGAACATGTTTCTGGTCACGATCGCAAATGCACGCCCTTGCTTGAACAACAAGGCAGTGAAACTTACACAGCTTTGCAGTCAGTGTTAGGAGATGTTGCTTGCCGTACATGTGCTCTTTCTTGTTATGAACTGAGCTGAAATACTGGTCACATATCTTACACAGCAGGTCACTAGGGTCATCCTCCTGGAAAATAGAATTGAGGTCATCTAATACTGAACGTTCCTTTGTATCTGAGAGAATGAACTACCTAACCACATGTACATGCATACCATGTGTGTACATGCAAAATCTTCAAAGTGTAGAGATTGGTGATATTGTTTCCATGCAGGTAGTAGAGAAGGTGCCTGTCTAAGAAAAGAGGGAGTGTGGAATGCCGATTTGGCCTTCGTTTGACACACAAGAAGGTCTTCATCTCAGTAGAAATAGCTTCCAATTCAAATTGCTTAAGGGCTCACTTACACAGATGAGCTAAAAATGAATGCAGAGACTGAAAATCTTACGCAGCATGGTGAGTCCAAAGGACCATTGCTGCAATGTAAAATCATGCCTTCTCTTGCTCTCCCCGCAGAGCCGACAGGAAATCACTGTGTTGGATTTTATTTTATCATTGAGAAAATCCCCATTGACTTGCTGTGAAATGGACCCTACAAAGGGGAGATATATCCTTCAAGCTTTGGGGGTATTCATGTGCTCCAAACTAAAGAACACAGAGATACATGTCACTATCATCTCAAGCATCACCACCGGTACATGGGCTCCTGTTAAGACTGTGCTGATGCCGTGCAGTCTGGGAATGACTGTCATGGCAATTTTGAATTCAATTCCACAGTTACTCCAAATGTGCCAAGCAAAAAAAAAATGGAAACAACCGCAGGTATACTTGGTAGGGGAGGGGGCAGGGGGCAGGGTGGTGAGAGGGCAAAAACAGCAGTGTTTCAAGTTTCTTGGTTTCAATTCAATGTTTAGATTATTACTGTTTGTACTTACCAATTAAAGCATTCCATAGTAATTACACACTTTACAGATTAAAATGTTGACAACAGCTATTTAATAGTCTAGTGAATTCTTTATATGGGCAGGTACATGTAAGGATTCTCAAGGCCTCACCTCTAAATGCAATTCATTAACAACTGAGGCACTGACATCAGGATCTATGGTAGCACCATCAACACCTGCAACAAACAATTCAAAAAATATAAAATAAACCTCATAGAAAAGACTTCTGTAATAACACAATACTTTCTTTATGTGTGTGCTTTGCCTTGAAGCTCAGTGGACATGGTGGAGTGAGGGCTCCCACGGCATCTTTCAACAAGTGCAGCATGCAACACTTCTGAACAACATGTGGCAAACTTGCTGCATCCAACTACAGTACCTGTACAAGTACATATGACTCCATCTTTAAACCACAAGATGTTTTTGTTCACGAGTTCACTGCTTCAACTGTCTCATAGAAATTGTCCTGTTTATTGGGGTCACTGAATGCAGTGCAGGCAAGGAGTTAGGACTGAAGGACCCTGTAAAACGTCTCTGACAAGGTCAGATGTAGATTGATTTGTAAGTTTGAGTACTGTACTTTGGTGCCCATGGACATGTACCATCAGTTCAAGTACGAGTGCTTCGCGGCATTCGAGTACCAGTAAACTGAAAATGGTACTCTGGTGGTACTTACACATAAGTATGGGTACTAAAACGCTGGTAAAATAATTCATTTCTGATTATCTTGGTGTAATTTATGCCCCTTAAAAATGATTGCTTAAGTTATGCAATGAACTGTTGTACAATGTGCCGTCCTATGCAGTACATAATTGTGGAACTTAAGTGAAGCGAATCAAAATTTGCTGTGTAACTTATGCAACAAAAAAGCATTTCAACAGTCTTGAATGCTTGCAGAGCTTTAAATCACAAACAAAGCGTATTTTAGTCCCTAACAGTGCCAAGGTTCCAGACCTCTGTTGTGTATTGTAGGCCTAACAAGCAGAAGCCTGTCAACATATTTTCTATGACATTTCTGGGCTACAATCGAGAGACATATAACTCCCAAGTGTTACTACATTTGTCACTACATTGCTTTTCTGTATTATATGTTGTTGCAGTACTCACCTGCCAAATCTTTAATCTTTTTAGCAACCTGTCTTCTGAGCAACATCTGGTAGGTTTCACTGTGTTGGAAGGCCCGGAGTTCATCGATATAGCGTTTCTTGTCCACTTCTGCTGCATGCACATATTTCTGCATTATGTAAAGGGCAGCATTTTAACCAATGTGAACAATTCAAAACTAATTCAAGTTATCCCCACATTATGTTTGCGTGAGATACCCAAATTTGAGGATGGCCACACTCCTGAGCGCTATTATATCCTAAACTAAAACCGTTCCACTAATTACACAAAGAAGATTTATCTTTGAAAGGGAAATACATTCTGATCCAACACACACGTGTTCCTGCTTCATTCCTTCAGCCTCATCTGAAATGATGCACATGTAATTCTTTACTTACATTTGTACATGTACATGTGCATGCAGCCAGTACCCTCAAACATGTTCAACAAGGAAAAACATATACATGTACACTAAGCTGCTGAAAGCTATACCACAGCTATTTATGGACAAAAAAATGGGACTGACAAGTAATGCATTTTATACCAAATTCTAAATAAAACCTGAACCAACAAAATGTTAACCTTAAAATAGCTGAGCGGGGATCTACCATTGTAATGCTTGTTTTTTATTGAGTTGAGCCTTCAAGGATTTTCCAGTGGTGACTGGTAACAAGAACGACCATGATTTCATGAGAATGAGACAGACCACCCTCTTAAAATGCCCATTTTCCAAGACAAGGCAGCCACAATGTTAACTTTTCACAATGATGTTCTCAGCCCTAAAATATTCCTCGTTGCTATCTTTTTCCTCCATCACCACTGGAATTTATTTTAAATGTCTGTTTTTGTACCTGAGGCATCATCCTCACTATTCATAAACATTTTTGCAGAGACAACACTGACTCAGAAATGTGCAAGCTGTTGCTCACATGCACATGTTGTCATAATATGGACCATTAGAGATGACATGCTTATGGGATACGTGCGTGTGCAGCTTGGAAAACTGGGTGGGTACATCAAAGGTTCATGGGGTCACATGTATGTTATCCCGTACACTGTAGGATATGTGCCTTTCATATCAATAAGCTTGTATACATACACAAGCCGCATACCTGTACCAGTATGTATCCCACATAAAAATCATCTCTAACAGTCCCTATTGTTTTATGTGACATGGCTTTTTTTTTAATGTCAAAGGTCATTTATTTAACCTTTGATCTAGCCAGAAAAGGTAGGCATAATACATGTATTTACATATATTACTATGTTGGCCAATGCATTTCTACCTGTGAAACACGACATTTTTAACCACTGACAAACGGTGAATGAGATAAGCAAGATGACTGGGTAATTCCAGAAATTAGGGGTCCATTTTGCTTCATGTCCCTGTCACATCTGACATATGATTTTGTAAGTTCAGAACACATTTTCTAATTTCCAACAGTCATGAATTAATGCAAATTACCTACCAAACAAATAGTGCTCCGGTAGTTTGAAATCAATTCTGGCAATGTTCGGTGATATTTCATGTCAAATAACAAAGGCCAGATGTAACAGGGACACAAAAATGTCACACTTTTGGACCCCTGATATCTACAATTACCCGAAGAGTGGGGTAATGAAGGTTACTGCCTAATCCACTAAACAAAATTTACAGAGAGATTCAAGGGTCACTTGTAGCAAGTGATGCATAGATGTAGATGTGTATGTGTGGGTCAATGCAACCACCTCAATCCACCCATACAGAGGGTCACACTGGATATGTTTAGGTACCTTCTTGCTTTCAGCTGTCATTTTTGTCCAGGTATGGCCCAGAATTTTGATAATCTCAGGAAACTGCTTCTTGGAATGCTTTTCCTTCATAAGTTTCAGCTGCTCATTTAGAAACACAGAATACCTGGCGAGATAAAGAGAAAGTTGTACAAAAAAAGAAAAACAATTATTAATCAATACAATAGAAATCCGGTTTGTGCGGAGTGATTATTTATTTCATGACATGAAAACTGCACTGACTATGACTTTAAGCATGTATTTCCCAGCTTTGTACACTTTGTAGGGTTTTGTTTTTATCCTGTATGGCATTTGTCGTGTTTGTAATCATTTCATCTACAATTCAAGAGAAGGAACACAGCAAAGAAAAGTGAATAAAGTTGTCCTGAGCCTCCAACCCATCTACGATGGAATCAGAACTTTACTCCTAGATGTACCGTTAACTATTATTCAAGTGCATGTATATGTAACTAACAGTGCAGAGCTCTACAAACTCAGCTACATGTACCTTGCTTTAGAATACCGGTAATAAGGCCCTCTTCAATGGACAATAGACAGAAACCCTGTAATTTACCTTAGTATTATATCCAGTAATGCTGATGTGTTGTATTCTGTAAACTCAGGATTACATTAAGGGAGCGTTTCATAATTGTTGAAGGCGGTATTTACTGCAGTACCGCTGTTTTTTTTAGCGGCACCGCACTAGTTACCCGAAAGAGCTTAATGCTGGTACCACAAAAAAAACAGCGGTACCGCAGTAAATACCACCTTCTGTAATTATGAAACGTTCCCTAACATCATGGATGTCATGAACAGTATCCATGACTTTTCAAACTCTTCTCTCCATTTTGTTCCCAACCCCTTTGTCTAATCACTGCTTTTCTCAACATCTCCCCGTTGGTCCTTCTACATTCTTCCATGCTTAACTGATTCCTTGCTTGCCTGTATGTCTCTATCCACTTGTCACTTTGCAGTCAAGCAAAATACTGCTATTATAACGTCATGCCCTCCAACTGTTTAGATTATTTCCTTTATGCGAGGACTGGATTCACATTAGGGATACTCACGCTGTAGTTGGTGCTTTGGGGACACTGGGTACAAGTTCCTTTTTTCTTTTTTTCCCCTTGGGCCAGCCACCTTTCCTCTTGACCTAGAGGAACCCCAAATGACAGAAAAGAGGCATCAAACAGTACACTGGAATTCTATTACCTGCATACAATCTTCAACTTCTTCCTTTGCCACCTCCTCAGCCCACAAAGTTTGGAATTCTACATCCCTGCACATTGTATACTTGAATGTAGAATGAAAAACTTGTTGGCGACACAACTCTGTGCTATGAGAAAAGTGTCATACTAGTGGAAGGTAAATACGTGCAGCTTTACACTAACTTTCTCAGTGAACCAACCCAACATACAGTGTACGTACACGCATGTGGCATACTTGAATCTCCACAGGCTTTTCTAGAGATTGTTGGAAATTTGAGGTTTCAAAGGGAAATTTAAACTGGACTGTGGAGACTTTGGTGTGTCCCAACATTGTCTTTGGGATCTCACACTTAATACAGTGCAACACATACAGATCCCAAAACTATAGACCAAATAATGTGTGTGCTTATCTTTACAGACATGCCATGAGAAAAGCTGTGCAAGGCAACCTGCAAAAGAAGTGTTGGGAATCCGGTATATCAAGTACAAGTCATCAATTGTAGACAGGTGGACAGGGAACAAGAAACCTTTTGCATCATGCCACAACTTGGGGGTCAACTTTTATATTTGACACCACCAATTGTCAATTCTGGAAGCCTTCTACATGTACCTTAGGTTTGACAGCAGGTTGGTTCTCAGTGAGCACATTTGGTGTAATGGTGTTCTCTTTGAGGGAGCTAGTTATATCAGGAACAGGGGAAGCCATGCTGAGAAGACTGCTGGACTGGTCGCTGTAAACCATCGGACCTCGACTGATTACCAATTGACCTGTCAATGAAGAAAATACTGAGATACACTAGTATGTATAAAGGCTATTATTGTAATTCAAAACTTGAGCGCATACATGTACATGTTCACGTACAATGTCAGGCCTTGCGCTAACTTTTTTTCCTGGATACCCCACCCAGCTAGGAAACTGGGTATTTTACTAGCTCGTTTGGAGTTTTACTAGCCCGTGTGCAAAAAACAAAAAAACCCCAAAATTATTGTTAGCTTTAATACCAATGAAGAAAATGCTGATGTGAAAACTGCTGATGTGAAAAATAAGAGGCATGATTTGCTGTATGTCACATGCACTTGTAGGTAAAGGTTTTGCAATCGTGCATTTATTATCACCAAATGCAATACATGTGTTTTGATCTAAATTTTAACACTACAGGTAGGTTATATACTGATCTTTTCACTAGCCCACCGGGCAACCTAGGAACCAAGTCTAGATAGCCCGGAGCATTTTTCACTAGAATTTGTACACCGGGCTAGTACTATTTGGAGGCCTGAATGTCAAATTGGACCACTGTATTTCTAAATCAAGGCTCCATTGCATAAAACTACAGGTACATGTACGCAGAAGAGCAAATCAATGCATCAAGCAAACATCTGAGCAAATAATTCAAAAATACATGTACACCATGTACAGTCAACTATCTTTATAAAAAATACTGCTATAACAAAATGCTAATATAAAGAACAGATTTCAAGAATACATGTACCAATTTCTGGAATTCTTCCGTTTATCTTTGTCTTTGCACTCCTTTAACTACAAAGTCCTGGTTACAACAATTTTGTCTGGTTCCTGCAACTTTGTTATAACGAGAATCAACTGCTAAAGTTAGCTACTAGTCTGCTTCCACTAAGCAAATATTTTCTTTGCTTAGTAAAATTCTGTGCTTGGTGTGGGAATCATTTTCGATGCTTGGCTTTATAGCCATGTCTGTGTAAAACATTTGTTTTGGTAGAGGTGTAATTAAAGACATATTTTATTAGGCTTTAACTGTAACCATACTTAGTTGCTGCATTATCACAAGGGGCATTCTCGACATACAGTAATTCATGCTCAGTGCAATGCCATCAAATCACATCAAATTCACGTTCATTTTTGTGCTGAATGTACATGTATAGTACCTGTTGTGGTGAGTTCCACATTTGGCACACCAATGCTGACCAAGGACGGCAAAGAAAGAGTGTCGACTGGAACAGAGCTGGGAAGGGTACCAGTGACTTGTGGTTCAGACGTTCTTGTTATGGTATCCATGACTTCCGCCATGGACACTGAGGTCAATGTTTCTGAGGAACCAATCAGAGATTCTGAATTGTCAATCGAGTCATCAACTCGTTCTGTTGACCCTGACACTGTGTCAACATCACCTGTGTCCTGGACATTTAAGGAGCAATCTCCACTCTCATTTGGGATGGACCCTTGCATTGTAGCAATGACATCAGTGAAGCTATTGCTGGTAGGGGTTGATGTGGCTGGTGTCGCTGTGGCTTGCACTGCTGTGTCCATACAGTCCAGGGGATCAGCATCAGGCATCAAGCGTAAGCAGTCTGCTACATTACCCATAACACTGGAGACCCTTCCCATCTGCAACACACCATCCACAGTCCGGATACTGGGCAATGCCTCTGGTGATTGCAAAAGCATTGGGGGGAGCTTCTTAGGAAAGCTGGTAGGCATTTCTGTGACCTGGCCTGTAGAAATTGGGACTGCATCTCCACTTCCACCCAAGTCGCCTGTTAGACCATCAATGGCTCCACCATCGATTTGGAGCATTAATCTTTGAGAGATAAAAATAGCAATTACATGTAACTGCAATCACATTTGACCTGTAAATTTAAAGCACCTTTTAGAGACTTTGTAAAATTTCTGATTCTCTTTTAAAAGTGTCTTTTAAAATAAAATGGCCAAGTTTTTTTAAGTTACAGTATTTGCGATATCATATTTATATCAACAATTTTGTCAACCAAGTTTTCCCAAAAGCAAAAAGGAACTGGTGACTAATTGCCACCATATGACTGTGTAGTACACGTACAGGAATTTGAGACAAATTTCAATTTGCATATGATCCTGACTCCTTTATATTCAAAGTAGTGGCAGCTCTGACAAAGCACCTGTCTCCACAACCCTGTCTCTTTTAGCCCTAAATTTCAATTAGAAAGAGCTCCACGAAAGCAACTGTCAAAGTACATGTACTATCAACAACTGTTGAAATATCCATAGTTGTTTTGTAGCAAGTCAAACTTAACTGCTGATTTACTTCAGTTCCGTGTGTGTTGATGAACTATGTACATGTAACTCAGCCTGGTCAGATCTTTCTTTTCCTTTGTTGCACAATGTACATGTATCATTCATTTTTCTGTTCTATGAGCACTGTGTTGTATTACACAGTTAGTGAGGTACATGTATGATTTCTCGTACTCTCAGTTGTCAGAGATGGGCGGCTACATGGACATTCAGACCTGAGTGCATAACGGTAGTTTGACAATTAATTTGGGTATATGATCTGGGAAAGGGGGTATTTTCTGGGAATGACAAATAGAAAAATTGTGTGGATAACTCTTTTACAATTGAAAAGAAAACTGAACTTGTGACTATAATCTTGAATTTCCAGTGAAACATCCGAGGCAAACCTGTTCATAGATGGTGCTATTTCTGTCCAAGTTGGCTGTTTTGTGACAGTCTCAACACATGGTTATGTGCATGCATGTACATGTAAGAACCTGGTCATGCTATATGTACCCTATATGAACTCCAAATCAGAGATCAGTAAATCTGTACCCCAATCCTTTCTCTCTTTTAATTTGAAGAAAAGGGTGATGAAACACAAGGCAACAAATGTGATGAAAGTTTTGAAAATGTGGCAAAGTTCTTCAAATGACCACTGTCCCACCGGGCCATCGTTTCGGGAGAATGCAGTGACCCAATGAATTTTTGGTGGCCCCGGGCCAGCCAACTGCCGTTAAAATTGACCCCTGTACACAATCTCAGTAACAAAGGGCAGTGAAAACATGTCCCCCAGTAGAAGGTAATGATTAGAATGATAAACACATTTCAAAAATAAATTTGGTCAACGTCTGACCACTTTTTCCTACACGAGTTTGGGGCCAAGGGTACAGAGCAGGCATGACAGGGGAAGTCCAATACCTGGGTCCTATTAATGGACTAGGCCACACAGTTGTGACTGTGGGAAAAGAGTGCAAAAATGTCTTGCTTGTTTGTCATCTAAGCCCACAATGCACTGCGAACGTCAAAAAGATTTAGACCCATTATCACTGATTGTTTAGCCTAACCCTAGAAATGTTGAGTCCGACGTCCCCCCGCTCCCATGGTGGAGCGAGGCAGACATTGGACTCCACACTGGCAGTTCTGGGGCCTGGGGATCACTGACGTGTATTATAAAAATCTGGACTTGCAATGTCCTTAATCAGCTTATAGAGTAGCCCTACTAGTGTGGCACGGACTCTCACTCCCGATCCATCCTTAGCCACACATCCGTATGCGCAATTTCATGTCGGCGTATTTAACATTTCGGCGCACCCACTTGTCATCATGGGCGAAATTTCCATGTCAAGACATATGTAATACATGGACTGAGCGATAAGACACTAGGGTAAGTGAGGGTATACCCGATCGGGGGAGAACCCGATCAGCCGTGATTTTGTTCATATAGAAGGGCCTACACTCAAGTCATTTCATTCACGTCACAGTCTGTAAGCCCTACAGATTGTGACGTGAATCAAATGAACAGAGTGTAGGCCCTTCTATATGAAAAAAATCACGGCTGATCGGGTTCTCCCCCCGATCGAGTATACCCACACTTACCCTACATGTACATGTACCAATGGGCTCTTCCAAAACTTTAGCAGTAGTTTAGATGTCTTGACATGGAAGAGCTGTCGAAACGATGAGGGGTCAAGTGACGTAATGTTCACTGACCTTATTTTAAAGATAGTGACTGTGAGAGCGAGCCCATTAGATTGAATGGATAAAGGCAAAAACGACTGGAAAATACCTGAATAACGTGAGTGAAAATTTCCTTCAATAAATGGTATTTAAAAAGCGGAAAAGTCAAGAAAGAAATTGCGCCCACGATGATAAGTGGCTGTGCCAAAATGTTCAATACGCCGACACGAAATTGCGTATACGGATGTGTGGCTAAGGATGGATCGGGAGTGACAGTCTGTGCCACACTAGTGGGGTTACTTAAGTTATAGAGATCAATGAATCCAGGACTCACGGCCATTTTACGAAGCCGAATACAAAGCTTTCCTGGCAATGCCCGCCTTGGTTCTTCCTGACGTCAATAGAAGGGAGCCAACCCACGCATTTGTATTCGGCTCGGTAAAATGGCCACTGGTTGGCTTCTCCTTCATACAAAGGCGTTGCAAGTCCAGGTTTTTTTTATATACGTCCGTGCTTGGGAGATGTTTAGCCAACGTCTGTGTCGGAAACACCTTCCATTCCGCCTACCTTCCAGATTGATCGACGTGCACCGAGACATTTTGAGGCAGCGTCACAGGAACATTGCTCATGACCAGCCCAGAATCCCCATTGTTGTCAAATTTGACCACGTGATACTCCTGTTTTCCTTGCTCATTTTCAAATGTTCTCAAGCCAAATTGATCGGTCTGTACACAGTCCAAAATCGTCGGATTTTCAGTCGAACCATCTACAGCATCTTTATCCATGTTGACATTTACATGGTTCCCGGCTCATGTATGTCCTGTACATTTGGGTGTATATGGACGTGTGCGCCGGATGTACAAAAAGTACATGTACACACCGCGTACCATTGAAATTAACTCTTCTAGACTGGTTCCCGTCCCGTACGTAGTCTCCAGACGTCCTCGTACCAACTACAATTAATGTTATCCAACAGAATCCTGCCGGGTTAAAAGAGGAAACGATATCCTCTCAATCCACAAATCTAGCAATAAGAGCTAATGGTATATTTTGCTTTTTCTTGTCCGTTAGTACCGAAAATAACTTCACAAGAATTGTTCATTTATCTAAAATTGAACACAATAATCACTGATTTGCAATAGCTTGCCGTAAAATGATTAATCGATGATAATCATTGAAAAATAAATTCCCACACTGGGATCAAACGAGGCTTAGGATAGGTACTTGTTTTACTTGCCTCCGCACTGAAACGTATTTCATGTTAAAGCATTGCTACTGACCTGACAAAAACTTATTCAGCATCCAAATTGACAGGGCTAATCCCACGCGTTAATTAAGGTTGCACTGCATTATTAAATACGCTCCCTGGCCCTAGACAGTGCAACTTTCGGACAGAAACACTGAGCGCCGCCATCATGACTCTCAAGGCAGGTTGGCCTCCCGCTTCCCTAAATTCAGGCAAGATTATGGCCAGAAGTTCATTTTTCTTTCTAATTTTATAGGAGTTAGCCACGTGATTTTTTTTAAATTCGCCTTTCTCCGAAAAAAAAGCCCCCAAATAGGTGTAAACTATACGCCAGGTTGGACGCTAGAAGTCCCAAATTCGTGATTTTTGAAAAAAATATCTATGATCGCTCCCAATGATGGCACCTCTTGTTATAAAATCCCAATGGGATCACAAATTATTGATAAGATCGCACGTAAAACCTATGAAAGTAGAACACATGCACCCTTAGGTTGCACCCTTAGTAAATAGGCACTTAGAGCCGTCCGCCGAGCTCATTAATACAAGTTACACAGTCAAACATTTTATATTAGGAACTTGTAAGAGCCATGGAACTGGGAAATTGAAGAAATGTTGCACGGAAAATCTGGCCTGTACTTAGCAGGCTTCTATACTTCTGAGCAATGAGTAATAAAACTATGTGCTAAGCTCTGAATGTAGCCGCCCTCCACTATCCAAAATAGGCCCGCAATTTTGGGCTTTTTGTGAACTTGAAGAAATAGCCCCAACTAGAAACTACCAGTCCCATATTCGGGATTTATAGAAATATTTCTATGATCCCTCTTGATTATGGCATGTCTCATTGTAAAAAAAACGTGGGATCACCAAATATTCATGAGCTCGGGCGCACAGAAATCCTACGATTTGGTGGAATGCACTATGCATTAACGATCACACTTGGATGACGCCCGTGGTGATAATACCTTTTCAGCCGAGTTCTCCATCTTGCGCCGCGCGTTGCGCGGCGCTATGCTAATTGTTATTTTTTTTATTATTTCTTATTTATACTTGATGACTCATTCAGTTCGTAGTAAAACAAACTGTTCTCCCATGAGTCCCAGTGAACAATCATAAGGACAAGAGAAAAAGAGAATTAAAATTGAACCTGGTAAAACTACATATCTATAGATGAAAATACTAAGAATAATTGAAATAATATGAGTGAAGAAAACTAAGATCATACAGTAAGAAGTTATAAATTTACAATAAAACATTCAAGGGAGCTGATACGATCTTTGATCTCCGAACTCACCCAAGAGAACGCGTAGCACGTGCTTAATAACAGGGCGTGTGCGCGATACCTATAACGCACACTGCCAACGGTGCACCAGTGAGCCACAAAGTACATCAGTAAAAGAACTTAAGTCCCCCCCCCCCCTTTTCGGTTTTCATGGATCACCGCTGCATTTCTCGACAAACTGACTGAATAACTATAAAACAGATATCCCTAGCGATTTCATGGTGTGTCCAGACGCACATGGACACTTCAAATTTAATCACTTAGACCTTACTAGCCGACAGGTGTAGCTCTTCTGCTGGACCTGTCCGCTCCGGTTGAACATGACATTGACCGTGGAGTGGGGAAGGGGGCTGGAGAACATAATCATGGCTGTTGCCAAGTGTCCCAACGCTAATTATTATTTTGACCAGTCTACGCATGCCTGCTTTTGTGAGTGTGAGGAGGGTCTGGTCATTTAGAGTGTGGGAAAAAATTCCTTCATTGGCCGATTGGAATTAACATTAACTTGAAATGAACATTAAATGCGCTGAATTTACTTTCAAAACATCACAAACATTGGCATGCCCAAAGATCGTATCGCGCGTAGCGGCGCAAGATTGAGAACTTCTTGTGAATACACGTAAAATGTTGTTATCGCATAGGTGCCATTTGGGTAGGAATACGCTATGTTAACTCAACAGGCGCAGGCGCCACGACAGGCACGCACACCTGGTATGCCTGTGCCTATGGCTGCACTACACCAAATACGCGCCCATAACCCACAGAAAACAGTGCAATCAGACCAAAATAGCGCTGCCTGTTGTGACTCTCAGGAAGAGGTTGGCTTCCGATTTTTCACTGGAAATCAAGATTCTGGCCAGAAGATCACTTTTCGTCTTAATTTTATGGTGAATAGCCACGTGAATTTTTCATTCGCCTTTCGAAGATACCCCCAAGACTGGGTGCAATTGGGTCCGAAAGAAGCAGTATTTGGTCGTTTGCCGAGGGACGGTTTTCAAAATGGCTACCGATACTTTTCTGGACAGGGACATTTCCTTCATTTTATAAACATAGACTAGGCATAGGAAAGCCATGCGTCTCCCAAGAAAAACACACGCGTTCGCACCCTGTAGACTTGTATCAAGTCTTTTCACCAGTCTATTCAGCCATCCCGTCACATACATGGTCGCTCACATAACTTCTTCTTGTGTGCAAACAGCTGGTAGATTCGTCAAGTCTGGATTTCTGAACTCGCAGTAATAAGTTAGCACAAGAGGGTGCCAAGTAAATAACGACGGGCGGCCTTCGTATCAAAAGCGTAAGCGCTGACGACGCCACGGAAGATCCCCATTTGAGTCAAGTTTAGGTACCATGCCGCATTCTCGTGAATATTTTCCAAATCTCGGCTTCAACTCTGCCGGTGGATTTTACTCCGACTCCGTCACAATGCTTCGCGTGCGTCGATCCGTACCCTTGATGTCTAGACAAATCCGCAGCCATGCACTCCTATCCTGCAGGACCATCACACTCAAACACAAGTTTAATTAATTAAAAACTCAATATGCACGTGCACGCAACAAGTCAAAACCCACGTTTCAACCTGGCTCGCCACAAAAAATGTGTGGGGGGTGATTCAATAGCTCCCCCCCCCCAACTCAAAAAGTGGGGATACCCTCTCTTCCCTCGGGATTTAAGCTTATGAACCTGACCTGAGTATGGTCATACCTTCTGTGACAAACAAGCGAGACAGTAGGGACGAACGTTTACCTTTGGGAGCTCCTGGAAGCCAATCAAACGCACTAATTAGGCTGGGAGAAATGTAATGCGCGCGTCGAGAGAAGAGGGAAGGGTTCCCGAGCGGGAAACATATATTTAATTAAGAGGGTGTGTTTTCTGCGAAGCACCGGTACTTCCTTCTCTCGTCAGCCAGTACCCAAACAAGGCGATGTATTTAAAGTCATTAGTTATCTTGATCAATTTTGGATGAATGATTAAAGAGTAGTGAGAATATTTTCAACAATGAGGCAGAAAAAGAAAAAAATCGAATCGATAACCGCCGCTTGTGCAACGCTTTTAGCGTCGATCTGGGCACTTCCGCGTTTGAAAACGAGGCTGTATAAGTTAGCTTCAATTCTTAATACGATCAGACGATTGAAGGTAAGGAGTTAAGACACAAAATACATATAGGTGTGTTAAATTCAGACTTTTCAGGCTGCAGATTTTTGTGGAAGAGTCTTTCAGGATGACTCCATACGTAAAATCAAAAGAAAAAACAATGGCAATTTACCGCCAACTAACGTACCTGCGATGGTCGTGTATCTTGTGCAGCGGGCGTGGTTTAAACTGAATTGGTATCACACTTACGAACCGGATACTGCATGCACTGTGTCGACTCCGCGGGCGCGCGCGACAAAGTTCAACACAGAGAGCCTCGGAGACATGTGAAACATCATTTTTCTGTGCAGCCTGAACATCTGTGAGAGTTGGGAGTATTTTTAAAATATTTGTGAAGTATGGGGATTTATCACCTCTGTCTATGGGAATTTATTTGTAGTGGTGCACCCTGAGTATAATAGAGATCAGTGGGGTAGCTCGTACCCGGTGATAGAGCCGTTGCGACTGCTTAAATTAATGTTGAACACAAAGAGTAGTCCACGGGCAGGTTACAAAGTTACAGCCAGCTGATCAACAACAATGGCGGCATGACGGGTGACGTGCTACTTCTGGCCTTTGCTCTTTGATTAAATATGCCACTCATTTCCGTGTCCGTTGCCAGTCTTAAAAAGCCAACCCCATCCCCCCCAAGAAAAAAACTAAAAACAATCAAACCAAAAACCCGCATCGCCGCATCAATTCTGGAACTTTGGTCTGACGATAGACCGAATATTGGGGGGGGGCTTAATACCACTCATACCCGACTAGGCCAATTGGTTACCCTATCTTCGGACCTCTTTTGGACGGGAACCAGTCAATTAACAGCCGCGAGAACACTGCCGCCAAACGTAATTTTAGCAGTGTAGGCCCCAATGGCAAGACGCCGCGTATAACACATCGGCCCGTAGGGGCCTACCCAATTCCCGTTCTGAATCTGCAATTTTCTGATTGGAACACAACTGAAATCTAGTTTTTCAAGTTTTTTCTTTACTCTTGAAATTTCTTTCAAATTCCCCTCAGAATTTGGATTTTCCTTAAAATTTCCTTTAATTTTTAATTTCCGTAGAAATTTCCTGAAAATAAGGAAATTTCCTTAAAATTAAAAGTGGAAACACTATCTTATCTATTGAAAACTGCGTACTCGTGCAAGGCGCTCTCGTGTAACTAAGCAAACGCTTATCGAGGTATGATAGCAACTGTGTCTTTAGGATGGAGAATTTTTATGTTCACGTGAATTTAAAGAACTCTGTATACCAGATTTTATTCCAATTTAACTCGTTCCTAGTTGGTACTCGCCAGGGGTGGGACCCACAAAAAAAGGATCCTTTGTTGGAACAACATGAGAGTGATTAGTGATTAGGGAAATCTATTTCAGTTCCCTCCCTCCCCAAAGAGTGTAAAACAATGCGGGAGCAAAAACTTTCATCCTCAAGGTAAGGCCATGTAGGGCCAAGGCTTTGACTCTCGAGGTGAAGGCCAAAGCCTTGACCTTAAGTTCAAAGGCCAAGTGAAACTTAACAATCAAGGCCAAAGCCTTCTGATATAAAGTTCCTAACAATTAAAATGGCACATCATAACGAATCGAGGAAGAAAAATTCATCTTTAGGCCTACTTGCAAAGTATTCAATGTATGACTGTTCACGTCTTCAAGATACCATTCAAATATAACGTAAAGAATAGTTTGCTTCCATATTGATGACCATTAATCTAGACCGAGCATAACAACAGGGGAATAAAAGAACAGCTGTTTTAAACTGGTGTTAACTGGTTGTTACTGAACACGGAATTGTATTATTATATATGACATGAATTTCATTATTCTGGGCGTGTAGAAATTCAAACATTAAGTAAAACACGTCCATGGGAGAAGTCATCTTGATTCTCTCCCTGGCTGCATAAGTGGAAGCAGCAAAATGTAGGCTACCACAGCCTGTCGTCGTAACGAAATGAAATTAAAGTGAAAGTGTACGAATTGGGTGTTTTCTTACTCCGTATGTTATAACATGATTCAAACAGGTACTGCACACAGCCGATAGCTGGCCCCTACTTGTGTGGAATATTAAAAAAAATGTGTAAGCCTTGAGAGCAAGACCCTAAAAATACAGCGGTATTGATCTCTCAAGACTAAGGTTTTTGCCCTCAAGCCTTTAGGCTATAACGGCAAGGGCCCTACAATCAAGCCTTACGGCAACCGTACCCGAGACTGTACATCAGGGCACTACATCGCCGGTCTAAAAAAGCTCAAATGTACTGCTGAACCCATCGGGAAGGCCATGATAGGCTACATGAAAACAATCCAAGTTTATTGCCCCCCTCCAAAAAAAAGAAGAAAACGGGAGTTTTTCCCTGAAAAATTCGGTCTAGAACCGTTAGGCGTCGGAGCCTCGTATTACTAATCTGTGCCGAGGATTTGGGAATGGGGCTTTCCCGGCTGAGGCATAATTTGACGGGAAGATTGCTGACCTGCATGCACGTCACGGTCGGGGGCGCTGTTCATGGTGCAGATGTCACGGTTGGACAAAAGTACATGTAGTTGTATACAGCTTACTCAGCCTCTGGTATTCCGATGTAATAAAGCTAATTTATTCTAATCAGACATTTTTAAGGGTATTTCAGCTCTGTTGTCTCAAAGGGCGATTATTTTCTTCCCTATTGTTGAGGCTTTCATTCCTACTTCTTCACCCGAGTCCGATGTGCATACGTGTACATCTAGACCAAGTTGCAGGGAACGTTTCAAACCCAACACGTATGACCAGCATGACAAGTAATCTGACACATACCTTATACCTCTTAATTTTGACGAGGGACATGTTGCAATGTTTAGAACTTGCATGAGGCATGTTCACCATTTGTGTACACGACAACCGTTTGGAGCAGAATGGTCCAGTTATATGTATGTTGCCCTGTACATGTACTTGTACTGCCTTTGTCAACACTGCGGTTGCGATCAATGTGCAACCCACTTTAGTACAACCTCACTTTTTATATACAGCAGTAAAAACACCATAAATTGCTATTTTAAATAGTGAAATGTATGGCTTCAAATTCTTTGAGTTTTTAGGGGGGGTTGCAGTTATAAAACAAGGTCCTTGGGACTTTGGAAATGACTTTGTTATACCTTGCATTACAAGTAATGGAAAACCAAGAAAAACAAAGACTCGGGACCTAAAATTACAAACATGACATTACATTAACAATGCTCTTGTTATCAGTGTTTGAGGGTACACAGTTTGGTTGTAAAACAAGGCACATGGATTAATTTGGCAAGCAGGAGTAGGGCAGATAACACACTCACACAACCAAACCGAAAGTGACTTTGCATCCTGAAAAAAAAAATCACATGCACCTCAAATTAATTAGAATGTTTGCCATATACTGGAGAGATATATCATTCCATAAATGACTGATACCTACCAGATTACTGTTTAACCAATGTAAAAGAAAATAAATGAATAGAGTGAGGTGTTCAACTGTGGAAAGTGAAGTTTACAGTCCCGGAATAAATAAACAAGCGTTGGGGTGGAAATGATATGAACATGTACAATGAGTTTAATTCCTTGACTCATTAAAGTAATGGCCACACCTACATACAGTAGAACATTGTTTTTACAAGGTCCTTGGGATTTCACAAATTCCCTTATTTAATAGTTACCTTGTTTTATCAGGAATGGAAAATTAAGAAGAACAAAGACTTGGGACAAAAAATTGTCCTTGTTATAAACATGAAATTATATCATCAGTGCTGTTCTTATCTGTGTTCAACTGTACCTTTAACTATTAAAATAACACAAAAATATATACCCTGTTAAATGGTTAATGCCGATGAAAACTGACATGTTGTTGCTCAAAAGACAGTTTCAGTTTCATGTCTACAGTGTCCTAGAAAGGACTTGCAATAACTGAGAAGCACTAGATTCAAAGAGGTCTCTCCTCAACACCACAGCGGACTTTCTAAATACATGTAGACTGTCCAGAAGTTGGTCATTCAAAAGCGGTTGGAAGTCTCCCAAATAGAAATGCGTTGTTATTCTCAGAAGTCCACAGGTGACAAAAATTCCCCCTGTTGTTGTAATCCATTAGGTGCATCACAGGGGAGGCTCCAAGTCCAAGTAACTGACCTAATCCTCAGGTCCCATGATCTGACTTCAAGGATATCATCATAAGTGATACATGTACATGATTACATGTCTATCTGAAAAAAAGTTGCTTATTAAATCACACTGTGTCGTTATTTCATGTGACATACTACAAGCCAGGTGCATTTCATATCAAAACATTAACCACTCTTTGCCGGAGAGTGTATAAATGTGTTGTTTGAGAATGGTTCTTGCAAATGCTGTAAGCAGTACGCCACATTATGTCTTAGGTCATTAAAAGTATGCACACACAGAGGCTAGTCCTTGGAAGTTGAGCAGGTATGAAACCCCCCTCGTGCAGCTAAGGGTGACAGGTGGCCATTGTAGCAAATATTGCGCCACAACATTGTCTTGGAGCTTTAAAAAAAGTAACGATGCAGTAAGAAACATCGCGCACATCTTGAACAAATGAACACCAAGGGCTGGCACTTGAAAAGAGCAAAGTTCAACTTTGTACAGGACTATGGTTGTGTTTTCTTGTTTTGAAAAAGTAGGCATATTCTACTGAAATTAATACCGTGCCTAGGTCAAGTTCATTTTGTGGAATAATACCATCGGCAAGTGGTTCAGGTGTATACACGTGGGTTTCTTGAAAGATACCCAATCAAATAGTGACATAACTAATCAATTTTTTGTGAGCAGCTTATGTATTCCTTTACCTTTCCTACCCGCTATGTATGAGTGGCAAGATACAACATGTATTTCTTCAACTTTAACTTTCCTAGATACTTCAGAACCCACCATAAGCTCTGAAGTAATTAAACGTAGCTACAGTCACTGTCAATGAGGCTTGATGCTCCTTGAAAGTTGCAGAACAAGGAATGAGCCACTTGTTCAGTGCATGGTGGAGGTTTTGGAAGATTGAGGAAGGTTGCTGCCCCAAAGCGCCGGGGGGGGGCCAAGTTAGTGAATATTATTTTAGCACCTAGCATGCCCTCTAGGCAATGTCACACCAAGGTGTAACCTCTGCATCACAGTCAATCTTCACATGTAACAAAGTTGCTTTGGCACCATTAATACTGAGTTCCTGCTGGCTGCGCACACTGTACTGGACATTGTGCAAACCTGTCTGCCTGTCTCGTTTAAAAGACTCCTGAATCAAAACGAGAAAAGAAAAGGAAAACAAAAAGCACTTCAAAAAAATAACCCAATAAAAAAATAAGGTTAAATGGTGCATGGTTAGGTGAAACATAAAACAAAGCTGTTCTTGGTGTATTTTTTTAAATGCATTCTATTTTCTTAAATATTAAATATTAGAACTGAATTAGAGGAAGCCCAAATTGGTGCTCAAGCCAAAGGGAAGAAAAACGTCCAAAAGAACAAACCTTTTTAGGGTTAAAGAAATCGTGCTCAGCATCCAACAAGACTCTTTCTTTTTTGTTATACTTACCAGGAGTCAAGTAAGGTTGTGATTCTAAATTAATTTGTCTAACGTTTAGTCCACAGTTAACTGGATTCAAGGCAAACAAAATTAGAAATATGAAGCAAACACTTAAATTGTCCATGATGACTACCTCACTGTGCTGAATCATTTATGTCCCATCCACACCATGGGATTTTATTCTTCTCCTTTCTTTACACAAATACATGAAGATCTGCACTGAGAGTTTGTTTTTGTCTTTTAAACTATCACAACAAATTAACACTCTGCATGCAACACCACAGATGCCATGCATGTGGCATTCACACTGTTTCATGTTTCATTAAACAAATTCTAAATTAGTTGCCCTGAATGCCAATTAAAGTAATTAAAGTTTTTTGCAGCCTAGAACAACTCAAAGGTTGTTAATCTTTTCTGCTATGCTGCTCAGCCAAGATTTAAGCCAACTGCATACTACCTGAAATCCAAGTGTTACCTGGACATTTTTGACAGAAACTGCATCATGTGAATCCACATTTCTCAGGTTGCTTATAATGAAGAGGATCTCAGTTCAATGTGCTGGTGAGTATTTCAAATCAGTTTTTTCAGAGTCAATAAACACTACAATAAAATTGTTGTTTTTAGATGGCTAGGTTTTGCTTGAGCCGCATGATGACTACTCAATGATCTCCTTTTCCAAGAACTATTTATTGGACAAGGGAAACACTGTATTTCCCTTTCCTTACTGTAACAAACCAGACAAACTAAAACACAAATTGTATAAGGTTTATCCCCATGGCCAACTGTACTTTTAAAGAGTCTGCTGTTTGACCAAAGTCACAGAATGATTTCTATTGTTCCATGCTACTCACCCTGTGTTGATCACCTATCCTTTTCATGTCTCTTTTTCTCCTTTTCTTGTCGTGTATGTGAAAAAAGGTTTTCCTGCCAGTGGTTATGCCCTGGGGCCTGAAAATCTGAAGAGAAATTAGGCAGTCAATAAAAGCAGAACATAACTGGATAAAGCCCACACACTGCAAATTGGAGTCCAGACAAAAAGACTGCTTTCTTATAACTGATGCATAGAATTTGCTCAAACCACCCAAGATAAACCACTGATGAAAAATCCCACAGTCAATTAAATCTCCCTTTATTTCTCGCTGCCTTCGTTAACGCGATCTTACACCATTTTTGCCCCCCAACATTTCCTACGTACTCTATTACAACAAGCCTACAGAAAACCAGCCATGTGACAGTGCCCCTCAATCCAATTAAAACAGTTGGACTGAAAGAATAGAATAATCTTCAATCCCAGTGGAGTTAGCTGAGACCTGATTAATGAAAGTACAAGCTCAAATTTGCTCTTAGCTCCGTCAGTGTGAATGTACATGTGCATGGACACAAAATGAAATGAGGTAATTCCAGACGAAAACCCAAATAAGTCAAGCTGTTACCAGCCTCATTATTATTTGTCAGATAAAAAAGAAGTTTCTGAAAAAACACGAACAAGTAAGCTCCAAATTGTTGCCACCCTCGTTCTTGGGTAAACTACTTTTGATTGATGAATCACTAAAAATAATGAGGTCAAAAACTATGTGACCTTACTCAACAGGTTTATAAATTCTGTCAGATTTATACCAATGATAGCAAGATTTAATGAGTTTACTAAAATGCCATTCAACAGGTTCCATTACAACATCATGCAATGCATCATTTGGTGTTGCATTCGAGTCCATCACAAGTCCTTTCACAAGTCCAGTCACAAGGCCAGTCTCAAGTCCTTTCACAAGACCAGTCTTAAGCATAAGGGTGAACAATGACAAAAGAATGCTTTTGTCACAGCTCATTTGAATAGCTTGTGAATTGACTTAAGACTGAATAACTTGTGATGGACTTGCCGGGATTTGCAAGGACTTGTGATGGTTTGGAATACAACACTGACATCATTTAGATATATGTAAAACTTGACATTACTACTAACCTTCATTTGTGCTTCTTGTATCCTCATATAGAACTCGTCATCCTCCCTACCCCATCCCCAGAATCGATTGGATAATCCATTCAACTGGTACATGTAAGAGGTTGGAAAAGGGACAAGGCAAACATGTTATTTCATTTTTGAAGGACACAATTTTCTATTAATGGAAAAATCACCAAGGAAGATATAATTTAACCCACATTTTGCCTCTGACCAATAGTGTAATGTCAGCATCTCCACTATAGGACTGATGCCTATCTTTTTATGTGACGACACATTAGAAAAATGATGTTACCCAATCCTAATGACAGGGATTGCTACTGGTTTGAATGTAGAGGCAAATCTTCAAAATGGCATTTAAATGGCTAGCAGCAGTGGTACAAAGGCCAGGTTCAACCTTGTCCCCATTACGCTCCCCCTCTACTTGAATTCACCCTGGGTTGCAACCTTCTTCCTGAACATGCTGAATCCTGATTCAATACAGCAACAGCAAGAAAATGTCATATCTCTTGCATCTGGTGTTTAATTCCAATGTGCATTACGCCTTTTCACATTTCCTGTGAATTAGTATAAGTACGTCCACTTTCCTTTAAACAATCCCCTCTCCTCCATTTTGATTATAAAAAATGTAGTACATGTACCTCATATTGGTTAGATGAGATTTGGGCATTTCTGTAAAGCAACAATTAACAGGCATAGGTTTGATTTCACAAGACACAAAGACGTGTCTTAGGAAGGGTCATGTCTCTGATCTTGCAACTCGTCCTAGGATCAATCACAATAAACTTAAGATGCATTCAATACATCCTAACTTCCTTAGCAACCTATCTTGAAGTAAGATGGATCTGACTACCAGAGGGTCATCTTTTCTCATTAATGTGTGCAATAATCGTAATGAAATGATAGACAAGTGTCACGAATTAACAATTGCCAACAGCTACAGAGACAGATTTGGATAGCTTTCTTATGTTTGGTTTGTTCTTATAAAACACCTACTTCTCTTTTTAAAACAGAATGATGAAATTAATTGGGGGCATGAAACCTCCTTTGCTGTTAAACAGTCACATCCAGTCAGACATTTCTTCCATTTCTCCCTCTACAGTACATAGACATAATGTCATTGACTGATCTTGACTGCTACCGGAAGGACAAATTGGTGCAGATTGCATCTTTGCATAGTTAGTTAATGACTTAATTTTTATGCCCAAAAGTTAGTGTTCCCTATTCTTCCAACAACTGTTTCATCAAGCGGTATAAGGAAACATGAAACAGCCATCACAGTATGTCTTAACCTTACGTGTCACCGGAGGGGAGGACGAATCAGCTCCCTCAACATTCTTTCCGGTATTACCATAGTGCGTGTCTTTCAGGAGCTGAGCCTTCAGGAGTTTTTAGAGTAACTCTTTGCGGTTATTTTGACACCAGTTACAGTATGAGAAAAATCAACAACACTGTTATTGTGCAGTGCCCATTTTTCCGAGACAGTTCAGTCAAGGTAAGTACTTTTTCCACTGTTGTGTTCAATGCATGCAGGCTAGAGCACATGTAGCCTTGAACTTCAAATGATAGTGACAACAAAACTACATGTCTGATTGAGTTCAAACTTTACATTTGCGATGATAGAGTGTCGTTACATGCATGCCAATTTTCGCTCAGTATCGAGCGTGGCACAGCTAAGTTCTTTGGGGGAATGCTGAATCCCAGCTGAGAGATCAGCCGAATTAACCTGGTTCTTTGAGGTATGATGTATCTTTCTTAAGGTGGGTTTAGTGAAATTTGATCTCAGAACATGTCTTAGCTACAATCAATCTTAGAGTAGGGACACATCTTACCAGTCCTCAGATGAGTTGCAAGATAAGATGAGTTTTGTGAAATCTGCCCCAGTAGTTATAAACAAGATTTACCAGTATACGACAGGACCGATGATTTCAAGTACATTAGTCTACATTTTGTCTGAGCATTTCTGTGATTGGTTGGACAAACGTGGTAAGTGGTCAGAAAATATCCGATGTCTTACTGCAATTTCACACTTGGCATGCATATCCCAGATTTTTGGATATGCAAATGATCCAAACACAGGATGAAGGCAGGTACATGTAGCAGGGGAGTGCACTGCACACACCATGGGGACGAGGTTGAGGCCAGTTTAGTTATCAACTGCACAAGATTTCCACAATTTTTTTTCACTTTCGCTAACATCACAGAGAAACCGCTAACATCACAGAGGATACCAAGAATGGTCAACACAAAATTGAAGAAACCTTCTTGGAAAGAGTACATTTAAATTCCTGAAACTTGTGACACCACCTCATTTACAGTGTTTCAATATTTTAAGTGATGTGGAGCCATCTTTAAATACAGGCATTTCACAATCGTGCCCCTCCAAGAGTTTGCAACGCATTGGCCGATCACAATGCACGAATTCTGTCGACCAAATGCGCGATCGGAAAGGGTTGACAGATTTTGCACATTGTGATTGGCTAATGCGTTGCAAACTTTTGGAGGCGCATTATTGTGAAAGCATCCGTATTACAAATTGGAAATTCTCTTACAGTTAAATGTACCTTTGCTCCTGTACATTTACATGTTTGTTCTACTATACCCCTCCATTTCATTATTCTGATAAAATCAACCAATCTTGCCATGTAAACCTACAGTTTGAAAACTGACCTGACTTTCTGAACACAAAGATGAATACCAGACTGTAAACTTAAGGTAAAGATTGCAATTAGACATGTCAGTCACATGGAACCGGACCCTCTGAACAGTGGATATCGGTACACAGGCGTACATACTTGCTCAAACTGTTTGGTGGTCATCAGCATTATCCCACCAATAAACTCTTTGTAGTCATATTTTGGGTGCAGGTCTGGAGCAGACACGTGGTAGGGTCCATCTTGCACATTGGCATAGTGGTACGTAATTGCAGGGTTCCTTGGTAGAAGGTCCACATCATGCAAGGCAATGTAACTGCACCTATCACGAGTCTCCTTGAAGCCAATGTTGAGGAGAGATGCCCGATTAAACCTTGGATGGGGAAAGAAGAGGCAAAAGAGAACAAAACCTGAATGACATCAATGACACGTTGTATGCTCATATGTGTTGTCATGAATCCTTACTAATCGAAACAATTTCCAGTTCCTTTTACCTACAAAATAAATTCCATCATTTGACTTAGACCAACACATTATTCTTGAAAAGATGGTCGCTGACACATTACGTGGAGATAATGTGTGGTACTTCCTGAAAAAAAAGTTACCCTGTAATCTGATGACCCAATGATGACCCAATGTATTTACACAAGAGTCACTTCAGGTGTATAGATCTTCACTTCAGATATATCACATACCGGTACGTGTACATGCACAGAATAAACTGCACAAGCTAGACCGTTCACTGAAGGAAAAAAGGTCACTGCATATCAGTAATATGATTGAAATCAAAAGTAAATCGGTCTTTATTTGTTAAATATTTCCAAAGATGGATTGCAGCGGGGAGACGATCATTAATATTAGATTTTTGCCCTGGCCGACGTGTATTTTAACACTGTGTACTCAGTGTTTTCCCCTGAAGGCTTGTGAAAAACCACAAGTGTACTCAGGTGGGACTCGAACCCACAACTTTCTGCTTAGTAGTGTAGATGTCTTAACCCTCGACCACCGAGCTTGCCGGTGTTGGCTGCCTGGTTCGAACCAGATGTAGCAGCAGGTACGCTTATGGTTTTTTCACAAGCCTCCTGAGGCAAACACTGAGTATACAGTGTAATAACACACGTCGGGCAAGGCAAAAATCTAAAATTAATTAACATCTCCCAGGCACAATCCATCCTTGGAAATAGGTGTTCACGGTACCCGCTGCAACGGTACCAAAAAAATGCTGGAATACACATTTGATATTTTGCTTTTCTAAATTTCATTATCTTTGGTTCATCACAGTATACATGTACATGTACATGTAAGTACACGACAAAGTGCAACTGATTAACCAGTTCTCAGAAATGTTTCCACAGAATGGAACAAAGTTTAGGTTCACTATTTGAATATGAAAATATGTAATTAAACAGTGGCCTCTATGAAGGGCAGCAAGGCAACAGCACCCTCGGTTTCAGGAAATTGTGTACAATTTAATTGTTTGAAAAAGTGCACTTTCAGTACCTTTAACCAAACAAGGATGCGAAATAGTTTACATACGTTTAACATGAGTGTAAAATTGTACACAAAGTGTGTCAAAGACAAATTCATCACCTTGACACCTTAAAAGCATAATGTGTGTTTTTTTTGTGCATGCTGTCATGGGGATTACTGACCACATACAGCTCCACTGGTTCACACACCTCACGGTCAAGGCTGCGGTGATTGTGACCAATCTTTTACTAGATGGGCACACATTCAAGTGCCCTTATCTAGAAACATATTGAAATCTTGCACACCGCACATTACTAGGACTAAGTCTGATAAGGAACCACTGGCTAGTTTTGCTAGCACATGTACATGTAGGTGGTGCATTCCAGAACATGCACATGTAGTTTACTTGGCAAAATCAATTCTAGTAGATAAATGATCACTGATTAAACTTGGCCAGTGAGTTGTGCAGAATTGAATTCAGCTTCTTCCACTAGGTTAACCACTTCCCGCCGGGTGACCGTTTTCAAGTACATAGGCTTTATGCATATGCAGAGCTGGGGAGCCCAGAACTGGGACAAAAGAGTTGGGCCTTATAACAAAAGACCGTGCTCAGTACAAAAGACTGAGCCGCTGGGCATTACCAACATATTTTCGCCCTCAATAGTGGAGAAAATCCAGCCTTGTTTTGAAGCAGTATACCACCGTTTGAGGCATTTAGAGCGAGTGGATTACCACTGGGGACAAAAGCTCTCTACCACCGCAGCGATGAGCCACACAGCACCGCTGCAAGCTAATCTGGACCCTATTGAAAAGGAGTCGGCAGTGCGCTGTGCCGGTTTCGGGAACAAAAGAATCTTACGTAACACCGCACAATCTGGGCTCTTTTTCCAAGGCTGCAGGCCTCGCTGAAATATTCAGGAGTCAATGAATTTTACCTGTCAGCTTTTGGGTAGTGCCCAAAGAGTCCTTCATTTTGGTATAAACGGCCATTAAATAAAATGATGAATTTTTGAAGAACATTGAAAACGGAAAATCTCAAAAATGAGACAGCATCTTGTCTTGCTCGAGAAAAATCCACCTGGCAGCAAAGCGTCAAAGCGTCTATGCAATGCAGTTTGTTTTTTATATTACAGCCATTGAAAATATACCTTTGAGTTTCAATTCAACCTTATTTTTTATTTGACGTTTAGGTATGCTATTATATTAGGTATTTTTTTTACTAGTGCCTTTTGTTGTTAAGCTAATACAAATTTTAATATTTAAGAGCAAGACTGTTGAGCACATAAGTTTGGTGCTTCTTAAACTGCTGGAACATTTGCCATTTGGCTGTTCTGAATTTCCTTTTCTTTCTTGATTCACGCTTGTTTGAGTGCATGGCAGTAATTCACTGAGCAATCCTTTCTCAGAAATGTTTGTAATGTGCAAATGCTGGGTTCACAGTTTGAACAGCAAAACGTATAAACTAAACAGTGTCTTTCTTGAATGATATCGCAGCAACAGCACCCTCTGTTGTCCAGAGAGTGGACCCTTCCATACAGTTTTCCATACACTGATGAAGGTTACAAATCTGCAAATTACAAAAAGTGTGTTTTAAGAAAAACGTAGGGGCCACTTTGGCCAGGACCTTTTCAAATTATGCCTTACACAAACATAAGTACACCACTGCGCAAGGGTAGAATTCACATAGGTGCTAGAACATGTACACACGGGCACTCAACTCACCGATGTGTGTCAATCTGATTAATAACCACAATTCTATGTCGCACCATCTGCTGTGACAAAAACTTGTCCATGTACGGCACAAACTCCATTAGCTCCTCAAATCGATCCCGATGGGGTACATAGATGCACAGGACATGAGGGTCCCAGCCAGCCTCCCCTTCAGAAGTCTCCTCCTCATTCCCCTTGGAACCTCTACAGTTTGAGAGAGCTTCATCTTTAGTCCTCAGTTCTTCCTGAAGATTACGTATCCTCTGCAGTAGGATGTCGATGCTGGTGCAGGTGCAATCGTCATTGAGAGAGAAGAAGATAAAGCTGGTGAGGCAGACAGTCAAGATGGCTAAGACCAGCCTTACAGGAGTGAGTAAACGGTAACAGGCCATCTGGAACTGCAGTCACCAACATTGTTATCTGATCAAGAATAAAAAACATGTTTAACATTAGTCTCGCTTCATTACACTTTTTATTGCATCATTTATGTCAAGTGTTTGCCCAGGTTTGATTTGACTACCACAAAATCCACATCTTTCCGAACTCTGATATGTGACATGTAACTTAACAAATTAGTCTTTAAGTGGAATGGTGCAGCCATGGTGAATTACAGGGTACTTTATCTAGATGAAAAAATAACAGACGGCTATGTTTATCTCTTTTTTGTAAAAATGTGCCAGGATAATTGGTAACTTTATGTTTAAATTGAAGGAGAGGTGAAGCGTTAGTTTGGTCTAAACTGATCACACTGGCAACATGGTCGCTCCTTTCCGAGGTCCATGGCAAGGCCAACCTTGTCCCCAGTGGTTACTTTATTTCTAAGCATGGCTTCCAATATTACAGTCACTCCTGGACAGGAAATCTTCTTCCTGTATCCTGATTCAAAACAGCAAGATCAAGGAAATAATTTCTCTCATGTGTACAGGTGTCTTATAATTTCAGTTTAAATTTTCTATTGCTGTATGCTACTACACGTATCCACGTTCCCTTAGAAGAAACTTCTCCACTTTAATTAGAATTTTAGAAATGTGATAATATTGGTTGGATGAAATTTGTTCACTTCACACCTGGTGAACAAAAATTGTGCTCCCCAATATCCCGAAGAATGCACTGCG